AACTTCTCAACCGTCCATTGGCTGGTTGGGGAATTCTGGGAGTCCACATATCTTAAATTTGCCAAAGTAGAGAAACATTGATCCAGAGAGAGATTTTTTTTTCTTTTCCTGCTGGTATAATGTAGTTAATTTAGCAACAGACTGATTTTTATTTTTATTTTTTTTGAGAATCTTATGATAACTAGGAAGGTAAAGACTCCTTCAACCCTAATGAATTGGAACAGGTTCATCAACTGCCTTACTTTTTGTCCCATAGACATCAACAAATTTTTGTGGATGGTGAGAATTGGAGGGAGCACAGACACCGGCAAGCACATAAAGGAACATGATTACTATACACCAACCGGAGAGTTCCGGGTAGACCGAGAGGGCTCCCCGGTGCTGCTTAACTGCCTCATGTACAAGATGTGCTACTACCGTTTTGGACAGGTCTATACAGAAGCAAGTGAGTGATTTTGTCTGCATTTTGCAGCATTATTGAGGAGTTAGTTTGGAGGATATTCCCTTTTTCTATAGGCTGTTCTCTGCACGTTCCATGTCTTAGATGCCTTGTTCTATTTTATTCTCGAGAAAATTAGGGTTTTTTTTTTTATTATTCTCCAGCATGGGGTAGCTAGTAGTAAATGAGTATTTTATCTCATTTTACCTTGAGCAACTAATGATGTTATCCATTCAGTCATGGCGATTCTATGGGCCAGGTCTCTCCACATCTTCCAATTCTGTAGTACTTTGAGTTTTTCTATACTCTAGCTGGTGTCAGCTTTGATGTGTCCAGCCATTGTGTTCTTGGGGAGCCTGGTTTCCTTTTACTGCTGACCGTCTTCCAAAATAATTGCTTTTTCCAGTGAATTCCTCCGCAAGCCTTTTGAGCACTAAAAGTGTTGTTTTGAGTATTGGGGAATTATTTTGAACTTGGACCAGCTTTGCATTCCATTTTTATTTCCACTGCAGCTGGATTTCCGCCAATAGTTTTCATATTCTTTGCTTTATGAGAACTTGGAATTTATATTGCGAGGTGACCTTATTTTGCACCCTCTTTGCTCTGCTCCTGTTCTCCGATACGGAGAGAGCTTGATATGGAGCAAGACACAGGCATGATTGATTACATACTACCTTAAAGAAGGTTACCCAGAGTTTTAAAAAAGCTTGAATGTGTTTTTTGTAAGGGGAGATAATTGGAATTCATAGGATCAGGAATGGTTGGTTAACCTTTTTCAAGCCGTTGTTTGCTTTCCTTTGTGTTTAGAACGCCCACCAGGTTATGACCGAGTGAGAAATGCTGAAATTGGCAACAAAGACTTTGAGCTTGATGTTTTGGAAGAAGCTTATACTACAGAACACTGGCTAGTTCGAATATATAAAGTAAGCCAACCACATACAGTTGTAGCATAGAGTTACCCAGTGGTAAGATGGGCAGCCAGTACATTGGATGGAAGGAGGGATGGATGGACAGATCACAACTGATAGTTAATCTGTACTATAGGTTGTTGTTGTTAATTGTGAAGTCGTGTCTGACCCATCGCGACCTCATGGACAACGTTCCTCCAGGTCTTCCTGTCCTCTACCATCTTCTGGAGTCCATTTAAATTCACACCTACTGCTTCAGTGACTCCATCCAGCCACCTCATTCTCTGTCGTCCCCTTCTTCTCTTGCCCTCAATCTTTCCCAGCATTAGGCCCTTCTCCAGTGAGTCCTTCTTTCTCATTAGGTGGCCAAAGTATTTGAGTTTCAACTTCAGGATCTGGCCTTCTAAAGAGCAGTTGGGGTTATCAATTCAGATCAGAATTTCCACTGTTGTTAGGCGAGCCTGATTTTACAACCTTTTTGGCAATGTTGTTAAGCAAATTATTGCAATTAAATGGATCGAGTGATCCCTAAACCTATCTGATTTCTCCCAGGGAAGAGAGGCAGGGAAGGTTGCAAATAGCTTCTAGTTTTTATTAAAACTTTTATTAGTTTTTAATACCTCCTACAAATAACATTGAAATGGGAAAAAAACCTAAAAAATTAAATTTTGTTTTAACAGGTAAAGGACTTGGATAATCGTGGCTTGTCAAGAACGTAACCTGCCTTCAGATGTACCATAATAAGCACTGATCGAGCCTTTGTGAAACAGATGGTTTTTATACTCTTTGCAGGCATGGACTTGGGACTTAATTGCCCAAGGAATCCCATCTTCGTGTAATGAATCCGTATTATGATTTTTATAAATACAAACCTGCTACCAAATCAGAAGGAGTAGCTTTATGAAAGGATAATTAAAAGGGTGTGGAAAATGTGGGTTCTTGTTCATTTCTTTCTACCTTGTCTCTTGATAATGTACAGTTGTAGTTAAATCAGTTTTCCTTACTCTGTTGCTCTCTAAACTGAGGATACTAAGAATTTCTGCTCAATAGGTCTAGACTCTAGATCAGTGGTTCTCAACCCATGGGTCGGGACCCCATTTGGGGTCGAACGACCATTTCATGGGGGTCGCCAAACAAGGCTGTCCGCCAATTTTTTCCCCTTTTCTTTGGCCACGCCCCTGGCACCCGGTGATGTATAAGTGGTTGGGGGTCACCACAACATGGAGAAATGTATTATGGGGTCGCGGCATTAGAAAGGTTGAGAACCACTGCTCTAGATGGTCCTGGTTTGACAGCTGATCTAAATGGCCAGATATTTATAGCTCAAGAGGGTGCCAGTAACTGAATTAGTTCTCCCAACTGGTTCTCCTATAGTATTTTTTATTCCTGCACACTCCAATGACACAAATGGACATATTTGGTCTGTTACTTAACCATTTGGTTTTGTACAATATGATGTAAGATATTCATGAAGAAAAGGAAAAAAAACCTACGGAAGACATCACCATAACATTGTCTTTCAGAAATTTTTAGCTGTTTTTTTTAAAAGAAATAGCTATATGATTGAAGGGTGTTCCTGTCCTGTTTTACTTTTGATAAATAAAATTGGGGGGAAATCTGGCTGGCTGAGGAATTCTGGGAATTGAAGTCCACAAGTCTTAAAGTGGCCTAGTTTGAAGACCCCTGTCTTAGAGCCTTAAAATGAAATATGGTCTTAGGCGGCAGGAATCCCTGGTTGAGATTTCATTGGGTAATTGCCCAGGAGGCTGCTGCAATAAAGAAAACACAAGCTATTGCCTGAAGTGGCATTTTATATTATTTTAGGAACTCTGCCACTTTCCCCTCTCAGCTGTAGGCTGCCTTTAAGCAAACACACAAATATTTGGTGACTTTTCAGAGGTCTGAACCGTTTATATAAGCCTTTAGAAATGTTCCCCGATTGCTTGTGAAAAATAATCTCTAAACCAGTGGTTCTCAACCTTTTTAATGCCGTGACCCCCAACCGGTCGTAAGTCGAGGACTACTCAACCAGTCGTAAGTCGAGGACTACTCAACTGGTGCAGCACCGTTTGCAGAATGGGACTTTTGGCGGGCTCAGCAGGGCAGAGACAGCCTGGACAATTCCTATTGGCTTTTGAAAGCCAATAGAATTAGACTCTATTCAAGAGAGTCTATTCTATTGGCTTTCAAAAGCCAATAGAATAAAAGGGAGTAGCACAGCTAAGGAAAAGGGGGGGAAAATGGCGGACTGCGTTGTTTGGCGACCCTCATGAAATGGTCGTTCGACCCCAAATGGGGTCCCGACCCACAGGTTGAGAACCACTGCTCTAAACACTTTGTGCCAATAAGCCCAAGCAACATACACCTTGTCTTTGCACATAAAAGTATTCCTTGCACTTCTGGACAATTTGCACTAGGCTTTGTATCTTTGGGGCAAGCGCAACACATCTCTTGGAATGACCACCTCTGCCTGATTTACCTGCTTGCTTTCCTTACCTGCCCTATTCAGATGATGGGAAATATGATGAAAGCCTGGGAAAAAAAATAACCCTTGCTCCCAACTTTTTTAAGAAATTAAACTAGAAGCAAAAGCAGAATGTCTGCTCCAGGTACCTTAAAACCAAACAGGTGATCCTCAACCACCCCATCTGATGCCTTGGGGTACTCTTAAAATCTAAAGCAGCAGCCCTGAAATTGGAGATTCTGATGGTGTGCATTGCCTGGGAGATCACTCTTGGTGCTCCAAGGTGCTCAGCTCAGATGCAGGGAATTTTCCACCTGCTCCCAAAGAGGAGACCCCCATCCCCCCAAGGCTTAAAGCAAGGGTATCCAAGCTTGGTAACTTCAAGACTTGCAGACGTCAACTGCCAAGATTTTTTTTTTAATTTTGTTTTTTTTACATGTTGCAAGAAGCAATGCAGCCTTCCCCAGACCTGGCTGATGAAGGAAGGGCAGCTCCTGGTTATTTCCATCCATCTTTTGGACCAAGAAACAGTAATTTGGTGTAACCTGGTAATTTAGAATCCTCTTCCCTTTAAGCCCCCACCTGCACCGTCAAGGAGGGTAGGAATTACACTCTAGGGCTGTGGAATTCTGGGAGTTGAAGTCCACATGCCTTAAAATTGTCAAGGTTGAGAAACACTGCTCTAGAGCAGTTGTTCTTCTCAAGCTTGGCAATTTTATGTTGTGTCGACTTCAACTCCCAGAATTCTCCAGGCAACTATGCTGGCTGGGGAATTCTGGGAGTTGAAGTCCAGTTCGATAAAAGTTACCTTTAGTCATTGTAAAGTTACTAAAAGAGAAAAAAGGATGCTTTCGAAGGCACAGGAGAGAAAGGCTTTGAGCCATCACAAGCTACTCCCTCCTTAAATAAAGCACATTCAATCTGGCCCAGGATCCATTGTTGATCCAACCTACACACACACGCGCGCGCGCGCGCACACACTGTTTACATGCTGCAAGATGCAATGCAACCTTCCCCAGACCTGACCGACGAAGGAAGGGCAGCTCCTGGTTCTTTCCATCCATCTTCTGGACCAAGAAGCAGCAATTTGGTGTAACCCGGGAGTCTAGCATCCTCTTTCCTATAAACCCCGCAGCTGCACCGTCAAGAAGCGGGGGGGGGGGAATTGTTGTTTTCAAGCTCAGCACTCTTACAGTTGTGTCGACTTCAACTCCCAGAATTCTCCAGGCAATTATGCCGGCGGGGGAATTCTGGGACTTGAAGTCCACAAGTCTTTTTTTTTTTTTTTTAAATTGCCAATTTGGAGGGGGGGAAAAAGCTCCGGGGCACGCGGGAGGCAGGCTCTCCCCGGGCATCCCGCGCCACAACTCCGCCCACGTACGGGCTCCGCTCGCCTTCGCCTTCAGCTCCGGCCCGGGAAGGGGCGGAGCCGGCGCCGGAATCCTCCTGCTGGGCGCCCGGCTTGCGACGCGCCTTGGCGGGAAGGAAGCGGCGTTTTCGGAAGAGCAGGGCTTGGGTGAGCGCGCGCTGGCGGGCAGGGTAGGCGGGCGCCGCCAGGCAGGAGCTGCCGGGACTCGGGCGGTCGGTACAACCGAGCAGCGGAGGGAGGGGAGAGGCTGGTGTCGGGGGAGGGGGGGAGCTTGTCCCGGGAGGGTCTCCGGACGGACAGGCCGGACTGGCGCCCTCCCGACCTGCCTTGGGTTGGATGGGCGGCGGGAGCTCGCTGCATTTCCCCCCAGCTGAATTGGGAGTTGCAAAGCAAAGGGGGCGCCCGGTTGGGGAAGGCAGCTCCGTTGTTTTGTATGTTCAACTCCGCTCCTTTCTCCCGTTTTCAGCTCTCCCCCCACCGCCCCCCTCCCAACGCTTAGCCTTATCTGCTCGTTGAGCAAGTGGGTTGCTTGGGGGGTCTCCCTTTAGGGACCACCCCATCCCATCCCAAGACTGATCAGTAACTTATAGATGTGGACCCGAGTCTGCAGTTAATTGCACCTGTGTGCCTGGCTGGTGCTCTTTGGATGACGGGGATAGGCTTTGGGTTGGTTGGATTTGGTTGGCCACCCGGGTACTTGTTACTAAACAGGTTTTACAGTTTAGTAAGTCTATGGCTCCTAAAGGTAACTTTTATAGATGTGGACTTCAACTCCCAGAGTTCCCCAGCCATGTTGCCTGGAGAATTCTGGGAGTTGAAGTCGACACAACATAAGCTTGAGATCAACTGCTCTAGAGACTAGAGTGTAATTCCCATGCTTCTTGATGGTGCAGCTGGGGAGTTTATAGGAAAGAGCAGGGGTCTTCAAACTTGGCCCTTTTGTGACTTGTGGACTTCAACTCCCAGGATTCCTCAGCCAGGCACACTGGCTGGGGAATTCTGGGAGTTGAAGTCCACAAGTCATAAAAGGGCCAAGTTTGAAGACCCCTGGTCCAGAAGATGGATGGAAATAACCAGGAGCTGTCCTTCCTTCATCAGTCTGTCTTCAGGTCTGGGGAAGGTTGCATTGCTTCTTGCAGTATGTAAAAAATGTGTATGTAGGTTGCATCAACAATGGATTCTGGGCCACAGATTGAATTTGTTTTATTTATGGAGGGAGTAGCTTGTGATGGCTCAAGTGTTTCTCTTCTGCTGTGTCTTCCAAAGCATTTTTTTTCTCGTGCAAGATTCACATGAGCAAGTATATCTTAGATTCACCTTCCTGGGTTGCTTATCTATAATTACTTCTGTTTACTAGTAAATGAACTGAAGAAGTAAATGAACTGAAAAATGCAATATATATATGATTAATGAGAATCTGGAAGCCATATTTTGTAATTCTTGGCATTATATATTTATTGTATTTATGTGGAGTTTTTATCTGTTGTTACATTGTACACTGCCCATAAGTCATGTTTTTGTGAGATGGGCAGCTATATACATGTGCTAAATAAATAAATTCCTTCTTATTTTCAAATATTTGTAGCAAATGTGCTGGTTGTGAAAATGGCAGTGCCGTTTGTGGAAGACTGGGACTTAGTGCAGACTCTTGGTGAAGGGGCTTATGGAGAGTAAGTAGCTTATGTGAATGCATAAAACATGGAGCTCAGATAAACCCTGTAGAACAGACATGTCAAACACAAGGCCCGGGGGCCAGATGCAGCCCGCGAAGTGGTTTCATGTGGTCCACGAAGCCATCCTGGAAACAGTGAGGGAACGGCCCCCGCTGCCTTGGCCCTGGCCGGCCAGGAGCCAATGTACAATTTTATGGTGGGCATCTATACTGAAACGCATTCAGTCTGAGCTCCACAAGGCCGTCTAGAAACAGTGAGGAACCGGCCCCTGCCATGTCAGCCCCTCCCCCTGGGTGCATGCTAGGGAGGTGTCACCCTTTGTGAGGATTGAAGAAATGGACCATGCCTTGGCGCTTGCCCCAGTCCCACCCCCTTCTGCCAGAGACCCTCAGATCTGTCCCACTCCTGCCCAGGCCCCCACAGGCACCCTTGACGTGAACGATGTAGAGCTGGCCATGCCCACCCAGTAGGCCACACCCACTCCATCCACGCCCACCCAGAAGGCTACACCCTCCCTGGCCACACATACACACACACACACACACACACACACACACACACACCGAGGGCAACCGCAATGCTGATGCGGCCCTCAATGAAATTGAGTTTGACACCCCTTCTGTAGAAAAAGGATGAGTTGCAAATTGTAATCCACGACATTGAAGAATTATGGAAGAGGAAAACCATGCTGTTTTAAGTTAGGGGGCCCTGTTTTCTGTAGAAGAAAAATGGGTGGCGGGCAAAGCTATAGTGATCTTAATTTCCAGGGTAGAAGACTTAATTTGCAACCCTGTTTTGGTCTCCTCTTCAGAGTTCAACTCGCTGTGAATAGGCGCACAGAGGAAGCAGTGGCAGTGAAAATGGTGGACATAAAATGTGCTGTTGAATGTCCGGAACAGATCAGGAAGGAGATCTGTATCAACAAAATGTTGAATCATGAGAACATTGTGAAATTCTATGGACACCGAAGAGAAGGCACTATTCAGTATCTCTTCCTCGAATATTGCAGGGGGGGCGAGCTCTTTGACCGAATAGGTATGGGAGAATTTGTAGGGGGCCACCCTGACTGAGATCCGGTGCAGTCTAGGGACGGTAGTGTTATTTTACTACGAAGGAACCTTGTGTGGATTCCTACGTAGCTCTAAGAAAGCCAACTCAAACTGGTTGGATTATTTTAGTTCGGCCTTGATCTATTTCCCATTTTTTTTTCCCAGTGGGACAATTTATTCTTGTTTTAACCATTCACTCGTGTCCGACTCTTAGAGACTTTATAGACAAGAGCCCTCCATGCTAAATTGTCTACAGGGGACAATTTATAAAACCCAGTTTATATGCTTCTTTGTGGCTTGTTTGCTGTATAAAACATGGTTGGTTGAATTCGATAACATGCCAAAACTAAACTAAGCAATTTTCATTGTGTCTGAGCACTGTGTATGTATCTTATTAAAAACACACACACACAAAAAAAAACTGGCATTCTGAAATGAAGCCATTTCTGCAAGGTGATTGAAGAAAAGGCATCTCTGCTTGCAGAGGAGTTAGTTAAATAGATGATCTCTTTTTTAATATGTTGCTTATTTTATGCAACTTATGCATGGGTTCAGTTTAAATTGAAAATATAGAAGAATTTAAAGGCTTGCGATGTAAAACTGCCTCTCCAATAAGGACCTGGTTTAAATGCAACTATGTTGTCTTATTCTTTCAGGGTTATTTAAATATATCTCTAGCAAGCCAGCCTTAAAGTAAACTAATATCAGTTTAAAAGATTCCAGATTAGAAGGTTAATTAAGAGCTAATTCTCCTTCTCCATCTTCTGTCCATGATTTTACTTTGATGTTATTGTTGTTTTATTGGGTTAGGCCAGTGGTAGCCAACCTTGGCTCTTTTATGACTCGTGGACTTAAACTTTCAGAATTCCTGAGCCAACCATGCTGGCTCAGGAATTCTGGAAGTTTAAGTCCACGAGTCATAAAAGAGCCAAGGTTGCCTACCCTGGGTTAGGCATATTTATTATGGTTAATTTTAATGTTTATATGGTGTAATTGCCCAGAGTCGCTTTGAAACAATATGGGCTGCAAATTAATAAATACAAATTAGTCAAGTTGCAGAATGAAATACCTCTTTCTAAAGCTTACTCTCTCTACTAGCATTACCATCTCCAGCCATATTGTCTTAAAATGCAGAATTCTAGTGGGGAAAAGAAGTTATTGAAGATGCAGATTATTTTATTGTCTGCATAACAATAAGGTGTTATTTATATGAGTGTATATGCATAATTTGCTCTTTAGAAGGCCAGGTCCTGAAGTTGAAACTCAAATACTTTGGCCACCTAATGAGAAGGAAGGACTCACTGGAGAAGGGCCTAGTGCTGGGAAAGATTGAGGGCAATAGAAGAAGGGACGACAGAGAATGAGGTGGCTGGATGGAGTCCCTGAAGCAGTAGGCCTGAGCTTAAATGGACTCCAGAAGATGGTAGAGGACAGGAAGGCCTGGAGGAACATTATCCATGGGGTCGCGATGGGTGGGACACAACTTTGCAATTAACAACAAATATGCATAATTCCATATTTATTTATTCATTTTTCTCATTTATGTATTGTATATCAGAGGTGGTGACCTTTTGAGAGCTGTAATGCAACGAAATTTCATTTTAACGTATGCCGATTAGTGTACATTCCAAGTGACAAAGTTATTATTCTATTTTTTTTCTGTTGTCAGAACCTGATATCGGCATGCCAGAATCAGAAGCACAGAAATTTTTCCACCAGTTAATCGCTGGCGTGGTGAGTTTCTTTATGCTGACTTTTCACTGATTTCTCTCGCATTCTATTTTGAAGTTGGTATGGGGCGAAAAGAATTACTAGAATTATATTTTTTTATAAGGTCTACCTCCATAGCATAGGAGTGACACATCGGGATATTAAGCCAGAGAATCTGCTACTTGATGCAAGAGGTATGCAATTTTTCTTCTGTATCCTAAAACCTTAGGGCTATAGGGCAGTGGTTCTCAACCTTTCTAATGCCGTGACCCCATAATACATTTCTGCATGTTGTGGTGACCCCCCAACCACTTATACATCACCGGGTGCCAGGGGCGTGGCCAAAGAAAAGGGGAAAAAAATGGCGGACAGCCTTGTTTGGCGACCCCCATGAAATGGTCGTTCGACCCCAAATGGGGTCCCGACCCACAGGTTGAGAACCACTACTATAGGGGAACGGGGGAAAAATCATGTGACCATGGGAATGCCGCAGCGATCATAAATGTGAACAACGGCCGTAAGTCACTTTTTTTAATGCCGTTCTAATTTTGAACGGTCACTAAAGAAGCTGTTGTAAGTCGAGCCCACCTGTGGTTTGTGTGTTCTTCTCCTCCCTTCTCAATCTATTCATTAAGCCAGGGGTCTTTGAACTTGACAACTTTAAAACTGGCTGAGGAATTCTGGGAGTTGAAGTCCACAAGTCTCAAAGTTGCCAAGTTTGAAGATCTCTGCATTTAGCTCATGAGCGAAATGCTGGAAATAGCACCTCTGTTCTTTACCTGGAGATCTCTTTGCCGCTTCTTCAGCCACCTGGAATTTTCCTGGGTTAACCTGGGCGCTTTTGGGTGATTTCATTTGAATTCAGCCAGCGTGAAGGATGATGCAGTGTCCTTGTGCTTTGTGCAGACAACCTCAAGATCTCAGACTTTGGGCTCGCTACGGTATTTAAATATAACGGCTCTGAGCGACTGTTGAACAAGATATGCGGCACGCTTCCATACCTGGCCCCCGAAGTCCTGAAAAAGAAAGAATTCCATGCTGAGCCGGTTGATGTTTGGTCCTGTGGAATCGTGCTCACTGCAATGTTGGCAGGCGGTAAGAGCTACTCAAGGTCTAATTCCTTTTCTTAACGGGAATTCTTATAAAACATGGGCACTCCATCACTGGAAATTTTCAAGAAGAGACCGGACAATCACCTGTCTGAGATGGTATAGATTCTCCTGCTTGAACAGGGGGCTGGACTAGAAGACCTCCAAGGTCCCTTCCAGTTCTATTCTATTCTACTCTACTCTACTCTACTTTATCCATATTCTATTCTATTCTGTTCTGTTCTATTCTATTCTATTCTATTCTATTCTATCCATATTCTATTCTATTCTGTTCTATTCTATTCTGTTCTCCATTCCATTCTATAACGAACAACATATCTATACATTGGGAATGTGGATTAATTATGAGTCTTCTGGGTAACATTTTGTGTTTTTCTTAAATTTGGCTCAAAAAATGTTCTCTTTCTTGCAGAATTGCCTTGGGACCAGCCTGCTGATACTTGTCAAGAATATTGTGATTGGAAAGAAAGAAAGACATATCTTTCCCCATGGAAGAAGATTGATTCATTGCCCCTCGGTACCTCAGCGGATTGAATAATCTTTGTCTTTAAACCAGGAAATAATCTCTGACTTCTCCCTCCCTTGATCTGTAATGTCCTTTTGGAAGAAACCCAGCTTTATTTTTTACACACTCAGATTCGTCATCCAAAGAACATTGCAAATCCAGTGTTAAAAACTTTTGTTTGAAGATGTTTTGTGTTAGAGCAGTGCTTCTCAACGTTACACAACCCCCCGTCACACAAACGTTCCGCGCATGCGTGGCGGCGTGCGCATGGGGGCGGGGCCCCATGTGCCGTGTGCATGCGCGGCGGTGACCCATGCGTGACGCGCATGCGCGACGACCCCCATGCATGGGGCACGTGCACGGCACCGCCCCTTGCGCGATGCGCATGCGCAGCGGCGCCCCATGTGCGAAGCGCATGTGCGGCGCCGCCCCATGTGCGAGGCGCATGCGTGGCGCCGCCCCCTGCGCAGCGCGCATATGCGGTGGCGCCCCATGCGCGGCGCGCATGCGCGGCGGCGCCCCATGCGCGGCGTGCATGCGCGACACTGCCCCCACACGCATGTGTGGCGCCGCCCCCATGCGCGGCGCTGCCCCCACGCGCATGCGCGGCGTGCAAAAAATGGCGGATCGCCGCCTTTGGCGACCCCCGAAAAATGGGCGATCGATCCCAAATGGGGTCGCGACCCATAGGTTGAGAACCGCTGCGTTAGAGTATTTTAATTGAAATTGCTTTTGTACCATTTAATTCTTCATTATTATTATTATTATTATTATTATTCTTTTTTGCAGCCTTGCTCCTCAAACTCTTAAATGAAAGCCCCTCATCCAGGCTTACTATCGCAGACATTAAAAAAGACAGATGGTACACAAAACCTTTAAGGAAAGGTGAGTGTGTTTTGGTCTATGGAGATTGAGATTTCCAGTCACTCAGATCATGGTTGTCCCAAAAGTGCTTTTTCAAGCACTTGGTTTTTGCTTCTCATTCAAGAAGCTTGAATCAGCTAGTCTGTGACTTTTTCGTGGACTTTGTTTTTGCTTCTCATTCAAGAAGCTTGAATCTGCTGGTCTGTGACCATAATAAAGATGGATTGATTGAATTTAAGCTGGTCAACAGCCCTAGAGAGCTGCAGACTCTAGCCTGGCCTTGAAAGGCTTAATTTAACTTAAATTGCTTTTGTTTAGATCCTAATCATGCCATCTCTGTCTTTGTAGGCATAAAACGGTCTCGGGTTTCTTCAGGAGGACCTTCCGATTCTCCAGGAGGTTTTTCTAAACACATTAGATCAGATATGGATTTCTCTCCAGTAAAAGATGCACACAGGTGAAGACACCCTTATGTGTGTCTATAGTGTCTAGTAATCGGCAATATTTAACTTCAGAGAAACAGCACAGTTTCTGTACATTTCTGAGGTGTGAGTTGTTCTCATTAGTTCCCTAGGATACATGTAGGCAACAGAACCATGGCTGACACCATGGAATTTGGGACATTCTTCTAGGCAGGATTGGACATCAGAAGTGGAGTACAGATTGACAAGTTGTCAATGCTGCAAATACTGTATATTCTTGTATATGCAAAACTGTCTGGTATTTACTGGGTTAATACATAGCTTAGAGTGGGGGGGGAGGGTAAAAAGCCCAGGAAAGAAAGAGGAAGTAAACTTTTGACCTTCACACTAATTGGATAATGTGACTTGTGACTGCAAAATAAGGGAGGGGTTTAGCAAGAAAAGTTTGATGCCAGCAAGAGGAAGTCAGATTCTGGCATCAAAACGTCCATGATGGTGACCGGCAATTTGTAGCTCTGTAATAAAGACTTCAGGAAACATGCCTGAAAGTTCTTTGAAGTGCTTCATTAGTCGGAACCCTGACACAAGTTCAATCTGTAGAATCTTCTAGTCAGGCTTGAAAATTGCTGGCCTGAAATCCTGCAGCAATGCTGCTTATCAAGCATGCTGGTCCTAGGCTAGTGGAAGGCCATCAGCTCTCCCAGGTTCTGATGGGCTTGCACCATCACAATGTTCTGCCTGTCTTCTCTATCAAACCAAAATGCTCCTTTTGAATAGTTGGCTGGTCTGGATTAATCTTCAATTTGGGAAGTGCTGGTTGTATATTTTGATTGGTTAGTGATGATCCTATTGGAATATGCTTACGTTTGGAATAGTTTTTTTTTGGGGGGGGGGAAATGAAACACTAGGTTGTATGCAAAATTAGCTTAATAGTCTTATGTAAAACAAAGGCTACTACAGTCCAGCGAAGACAAAACTATGCTTTCTGAAAGTACGATAACTACTTTGACAGCTAGAACAATTAATCAGTGGAACAACCTGCCTCCAGAAGTTGTGAATGCTCCAACACGGGAAGCTTTTAAGAAGAGACTGGACAACTAGAAAACTGATGCACACTAACCTTGTGATGAACCTGATCTGTTTTTGTTGCAGTGAGGAAAAAAAGATCTGTTCCAAATCCCAGCCAGAACCAAGAACTGGGCTCTCCTTGTGGGATAGCAGCCCAGGCAATATCGAGAAATTGGTGCAAGGGATTAGCTTCTCTCAACCCACCCGCCCTGAGCATATGCTGCTGAACAGCCAGCTGTTAGGCACTCCAGGTTCATCACAGGTAAGGTTGCCCAATGGAACGCTTGGCTTCGCTCTGTTCTTAAATCACTGCTGGAAACTCTTGGCTTGCAACCATTCATGTAGTGGCAGTTCAGAGTTACAAAGGCACTGAAAAAAGTGACATACGGCCAATCCTTGCCCTGACAAATCACTGCAGTTCAGGCACTTGGCAACTGGGGTAAATTTACAACGGTTGCAGCATTCCAGGGACACATGATTGTCATTTGCAGCCTTCCCAACCAGCTTCCAACAAGCAATTCTCAATTTGCTTAATGGCTGCATGATTCGTTTAAAAATTTCCCAACTATGGGGAAAAAAAAAACACATTGTAAAATCAGGCATCACTTCCTTGACTGCCTTGCTTAGCAACAGAAATTTTGACCCGAGTTGTGGGCGTAAGCCGAGAACTTTATATTGTGTTTTCCTGTTCTGTTTAAACTCCATCCTTTGCTTTGGAATTTAATGCTTTTGAAAAACAAAACAAAACACCATAACCATGAAAGAGCCGAGGTGGCACAGCAGTTAGAGTGCAGTACTGCGGGCCACTTTAGCTGACTATGTTCAGCAGGTCAGCGGTTCAAATCTCACCGGCTCAAGGTTGACTCAGCCTTCCATCCTTCCAGGGTAGTTAAAATGAGGACCCAGATTGTTGGGGGCAATGTAAATATATATATACATTGCTTACTGGTGTACACCGCTTAGAGAGTGCTTGCACTTAAAGGGGTATATAAGTCATAAATAAATAAAATAAATAAATAAATAACAAAACTAAAGGATAAATTCATAGTTTCAGTGAAGATGTTACAACTAATGGTTGGAAATCACATTAGCTCCAGGCAAATCAGCTGAATTGATCAGTTTCTGCCATTTTCTGCTTTGTCTCTCTCTCTCTCTCTTAGAACCCCTGGCAACGTCTAGTAAAGAGGATGACCCGTTTCTTTTTGAAATTGGATGCTGACCAGTCCTATCAAATCTTGAAGGAGGTTTGTGAAAAGATGGGCTACATCTGGAGGACAGGTTGCAGAAACCAGGTATAAAAGTAACACCTTGAAGTATATATATATGTTGGTTGAATAAGCAAAGGAATAAGTAATTAGTTAGAACTGCACGTGGGTGCTATTTGTGCAATTCTTAGCTACTACTAATTTTATTATATTATTACATATTATAATTACAAACGTGCCAGTTTGCTGCCATGGCTAAGGTACTGGCTTAGAAACCAGGAGACAGAGTTCTAGTCCTACCTTAGGCAACTGGATGACTTTGGGTCAGTCCTGTTTTTATTTCTCTCAGGGTGTTTATTTGTGATTGAGTTAGTGACTCAAGAATATTGCTTGGGAGAAAACCATTTATGAGGCTGCCGTGTGCTTCAGGAAAGAGCACACACGACTGTAATGCTTATTATATATTGTGAGACTTTCTGTCAGCCCCATCACAGCAAGAAAGCAATTCCCCCAGAAGACTTAACATTATTTCTTCCCTTCTGCTCAATAATTCTTTCCATTGAAAGGTCACCATATCAACCATGGACCGAAGAAACAACAAACTAATTTTCAAAGCCAACCTGGCGGAAATGGATGAGAAAATTCTGGTGGATTTCCGATTGTCAAAGGTAAGTCTATTTTAGCAAATATGTCTAAGCCTAGGCAGAAGAAAACTTTTTTTTGCATGCGGAATAGATTTGTTTACAAAGTAAACAAGTAGTAATAATCATAGCAGTGCTTCTACAGGTGCTCCTCAAGTTACAACCATTCATTTAGTGGTCATTCAAAGTTAAAGAGGCACTAAAAAAAAAGTGACTTACATCCAGTCTTTACGCTTATAATCTGCAACGTTCCAACGGTCATGTGATCAAAAATTGGGTGCTGGGCCAATCAGCATGTATTTGCGATGGTTGCAACATCTTGAGATCAAATTTGCAATTTACGATCTTTCCAGCCGGCTTCTGACAAGCAAAGGCAATGGAAGGAAGTGAATTCATTTAATAACTGCATGGTTCACTTAACAACGGTATTGATTTGCTGAACAACTGTGGCAGAAAAAGTTGTAAAATCGGGCAGAAGTCACTTAACAACCACTTTACATAGCAGCAGAAATTCTGGCCTCAGTTTGTGATCGTAAGTTGAGGACTACCTATATTCTGCTTCAGTTATAGGACACCAAGCAGCTTCTAGTATAACATATCAAAACATTGTTTATAAATCCACGATTATTAAAATGATTAAACTGTACATTTATACTATCTTCCTACCTACCTAGTAAGAATTTGAGCTGATCATCCTTTCATTTCTAATCTCTAAAAAAGTTTTTTAGGTAATATTTTTCTTATTTGTTTATAGGAGGCTAAATAGGTCAGAATGCAGTATTTTGTACAGGATCGATATTTTGAAGCTAAGCTTTTTCTCCCCCCCCCCTTCCTTTTCCACACAGGGTGATGGCTTGGAGTTCAAAAGGCATTTCCTGAGGATCAAAGAGAAACTGAATGATGTTGTTAGCCCACAGAAGTTATGGCTTCCAGTGACATGATTGCCTTGTGGTTGAAAAACAAGTGAATTTGGTTACAGTGGTTTCAGCCATAGAACATTTATGCTAAGGCATACCCTAAATTCACACACTCAGTGCCTCTAGGCTCTGACATGACCAGTAGCCAACTGGGAAGTTAATACTGCGATGAGACATAATTATGTATTTTTCCTAGGGTAACTGTCATGAAAATTTCCAGTGACTTAGATTTCTCAGGCTTTCAGCTTGCATTCTACTTTATACAGATTAATTCAAATGTTTTGGCACGCTGCCTTTTCTAGATGGGAATGTTTTCTTCTTTCTTTCCAAAATGTGACACAAGAATACAAACTGAATTTTTGCAAAGAGTAGAAGAAGGAAATTAAATGAAAACCAGCACCAAGTAACAACTCGCTTTGTATACAATCCAGGGAGCAAGGTTGTTGAATTTTCAAACTCCAGCACAAACTCCATATCAGAATACTTGGCTTAGCTTGAAATTAGTTTTTGGTCAAGTGTTGTTGGAAAAAAAAAAAAGTGGCACATTTCTCTTCTATTTCATTTTTTAATTTTTCACTTTGAAGAAAGAAAATGTTACAGATGTTATTAATGTGATTTGTTAAAATATTTTTTCTATGTCCTATGTCTCTTCCATAAAAACTTCTGTCTTGTTGAGCACTAAAAATATATAAATAGGAATGGGATAAGATCAGCAGTTTTTCCTGTATCCCAGTGTTTCCCAAACTTGACAATTTTAAGGCATGAGGACTTCAACTCCCAGAATTCCACAGCCAGCAACGCTGGCTGTGGAATTCTGGGAGTTGAAGTCCACATGCCTTAAAATTGTCAAGTTTGGGAAACACTGCTGTATCCTATCACTCTTAGTTCGTTAGACATTCCAGATGTTTCAGACACTTATTACCTCATGTCTGAATGCTGCTTGATTGGACCATTAAGAACACAGAGAAGAGTGGAGACATGGACCTTTGTTCTCACCGTGGTGCTGACCAATTTTACTTAACCATGTTCAGCAATATAATTTTTTAAAAAGAGAAAATAAAGCAATGAATAAATATATTTGTCAATCTTATTGCCACAAAAGATGGTGAAAAATGACTTGCGCTTCCCTTGTGTGATCTTGTCACACTATTTTTCAGTAGTATTGAAGAATTTCTGAGCATTAAGAAGATAATGTGGCTCTACAAATTTGGTAGAAATAAATGCACCAACACAGTTTATGGCTGAACACATGCTTTGTAGCTTGGGTATATTTTTGGGGAAATCATTAGATTTATGTCATATCTTTGGAAACTCAAGATAGGTAGCACTCCTGATTTTTCTCTAAGAAGGATTTATTTATTTATTTATTTATTTATGAGACTTATATACCGCTTTAAGTGCAAGCACTCTCTAAGCGGTGTACACCAGTAAGCAATGTATATATTTATTTTATTTTATTTTATTTATGAGATTATATACGGCTTTAAATGCGAGCACTCTCTAAGCGGTGTACACCAGTAAGCAATGTATATATATATTTACATTGCCCCCAACAATCTGGGTCCTCATTTTACCTACCCCGGAAGGATGGAAGGCTGAGTCAACCTTGAGCCGGTGAGTTTTGAACTGCTGACCTGCTGAATGCAGTCAGCTAAAGTGGCCTGCAGTACTGCACTCTTAACTGCTGTGCCACCTCGGCTCACCTTGTGAGGTTGGACAGGGAAAGAGTTACTGGCCAACCTAACTCAATTAAGTTTCTAATGGTTGAGAATAATTTGAATTTGCGGATCTGTGCCCCTTATATGCCTCCTTCATAGACTGGCCTTGGCTCTAGATACATCTATGCACTCCAATTACGCAATGGTTGGAAATGTATCAATAGGTCCTATTTCAATATGTTGGATGGGCAATGTATGTAATTATTTTTGTACATCAACAAAATGAAAAGAATCAGCTATTCCAGACGTGTCATCGTGAGCTACTATAAACAAACGTTGTATTTAGTTGTACAGTAAAAAGGTAAAAAAAAGCCAGTCACGTCCGACTCTAGGGCATGGTGCCCATCTCCATTTCTTGGCCAGTGTTGCCCAAAGATGTAGCCAACATGGCTGTACATCAAAGGCACACAATGCTGGAATCCTTCCCACCAAAGCGATACCTATTTATCTACTTGCATTTGCATGCTTTCTAATTGTTAGGTGGTCAGGAGTTGGCCAAGTAACACCTCATTGGGCAAAGCTCAGGTCTCAATCCTGGCTTGTCAGCTCTCCAGCTGTATAAAAATCTACCCCATGCAGAGTATCTGTTCCAATTTGAACTGTGACTTTCAGAAAATTGATCTTCTGAATTGTTTCAGATTGATCTGATCTAGATTTCTGAATTTCTATGGTCCCAAGAAAATACCTGCCTTGCCTACGCAGTGAACTACTTCCAAATTTGAGTTAATCATTGCTCATTCAACTATCGTAAGCAACAAACCAGTGTGTTTGTTTTAAAACATTTCTTCCTGGTCTTTATGACACTCCAAAGGTAACTGCCTCTGCTGTGATCTAGCACATAATGTGAGATGCTTCTAAAGTGCCTATATTGCTGAAGGAAGAGATACTTAATTTCAAAATATTTGAATTCTGGCTGTTAATAGTACCTGAAATAATCTGCAATTCATTGAAGGATCAGCTAACCTATAAGAAGTTTGGATAATATATTGCCCCATGGTGCCGTAGATACTTTCTGGTATGATATTATGATTATTATTATTCTATTGCTTTGCATGTGCATTGAGAGCTTCTGCACCAGAGACAAATTCCTTGTGTGTCTAATCCTACTTGGCCAAATAAAGCCTGTTCTGTTCTGCTTTGTTCTACTCTCTTCTGTTCTACTCTGCTCCGCTCCACTCCACTCCACTCTGTTCTACTGTGGTTAATAGCACTCTGGTCAGTTTACAATGTAAGCATTATTTGTGTATTTTACCAACCTCAGAAGAATGAAAGGCTGAGTCAACCTTAAACCCTGTTGATACATATTATCTCAGTATCTGCATGAAAAAAAGCCAATAAAATATGCCTAATTTGTACATTTTTCACTTATTCAGATGTGTGAATGACCTTTTCAGAATGAAATTTCCGCTGACTCAGATTTTGATCCTTGTCTTCTTAGTATTGCTGTCCTTTCCAACAGGTATGCTTATAAAGAATAAAGATAGATAGATAGATAGATAGATAGATAGATAGATAGATAGATAGATAGATAGATAGATAGATAGGCAGGCAGGCAGGCAGGCAGGCAGGCAGACAGGCAGACAGGCAGACACAGATAATCGACAAACTATGCAAGAAATTAGTTTCCTTCTTATGCACTTGTATTCATAGTAGATGGCAGCATTTCAAGATGCTCTTGAAATGGCTAAGCAGGATTGTAGTTGATTAATACTTGAATAGAAACCATAAGAAAACCTAGAACTATAGATTAGACTAGGAAGTTGAAAACTTCTATATTGGCACAAAAGAACCACAGCATCATGAACTTGTCCATTAAATCATCAAGAGTTGCTCTCAACCCTAAAAAACCTTATTTTACTTATTGGAATTTTTTTTTTTTTTTTTTTGCCTCATTCCTTCTTCTTTTTGCATTATGCAGCTGAAGGGCTGATATGTCATCAGTGTTACTCAGTTAAAAGGGACAATAAATGTCGCAGACCATCCACCTGCAAAGTGTCTACAAAACAGTTTTGCTTCATTCAAAGAAACTCAAAAGGTGAGAAGCAATGGTGGAACAAGTTAAATTAACGGACACTGGATAGATTTTGAAATCCATGCAGAAAGAATGGAGGGAGTTACTCCTTAGGAACTGCCAAGTAAACAACCTATCTCAGTGATGGCGAACCTTTTAGAGACCGAGTGCCCAAACTGCAACCCAAAACCCACTTATGTATCATCGGGTGTCGGGTGGGTGTGGCCCATTGGGTGGGCGTGGCTGTGGTGGTAATAGCAGAATGGGTGGGACTAAAAAATTCAATCAATTCCAACTTTGCAAGATCTTTTTTTTTTCCTGCAAGAAGTTGAAATTGACTGATTGAACCTCTTTTTTTGCACACGGCGGCGGAGGCCTAAAGCGAAAAGGCTTTATAAAACCCAGCTGAAGGCCTAGGACTGGGGCGACGGCACGCGTGCCTACAGAGAGGGCTCTGAGTGCCGCCTCTGGCACCCGTGCCATAGGTTCGCCACCACTGACCTATCTTGTAGGAATAAAATATGAGAATATAACAATTACAATAAATATATAGACAATCCTAATCCCTCACCTTTCTTTTCATTTACAGGAGGACACATTCAGAGAATAAGTCAAGGCTGTACCTCTTACTGCCTAGATACTATTCAGTTCAGCAATGCTTATATAAGATATACCTTTTGCTGCAAGACAGATTACTGTAACAAATATAATGTTTGGCAGTTTCTTTAACTTCAGTCTTGGCAGCCATTCTGCTGCTGACAACTGATATGCATCTTCCAAACATTGACACAAATATATATACAAATATGGGTGGTGGATGGAGACTTCCTATTTCTTTATATGGGTTGAAGAACCCACTGGGATGCGGCTTTACAGTATAACATTCCAGTAAGCTTTTCTGCTTTAGGGTTTTGTACAAAGGTCTACAGGTAGTTCTTGTTTAGTGACCACAACTGGGACTGGCTATTTGGTTGTTAAGTAAAGTAGTTGTTAAGTGAACCTTAACTGTGCTTTCCATCTGATTTCAGTTTCTCTCTGTTTTACACACCCACCAAGGTCATAGAAAAGAGGATGTATTTATTTATTTCAATTTCTCTAGCCATCCCCATGTCAGTCAATGACTCTGGGCGGCTTACAATTCAAAAAATATGTTACAATTAAAAGGCTAAAAACAATTTAAAACAATTAAAAAACAATAAAATTATCCAAAATTGGTATACACAGCAGCAGAGATACTTGATTGGTTAGAAATAAAGCCAGGAAACAGGGTTGTTGACACATTCAACACTTTAGCCTCAGGGTGGATTAGTTGCCAAGTTACTTCTTCATCACTAACTGTGAATAGTTGTTAAATGAGGCAGTCACTAAATGAGGATTACCTGTATTCACCAGATCTAGAATTAAGGGAATGAGGGGAAAGGGGGAGGGAGATGTAATTTTCAGACAAAGTTATACAATAACCTTGGCAAAATGTTAAAACTTTGCTGCTTTTGTTAATATCTCTCCTTTTGGGAGGTAGATGAAGAATTTTGACAGCCAAAGTGTCTTATCTACCCAACAGCTACACAGAACTATCACCAAATCATTCCATGTTACATCAGGACTGATATTTTCCTCCCTGTAAAAACTCTGAGGTAAAAAGTCAAAGATGGTTTGGACCAGCAATGGCAGATTCTCCTCTATGGCATTTGTGGACAAGAAGAAGACATTTTCAGGACAGGCTGTATGTTGCTTTTACTTCTCTTGAAGATCACCAAAACGATACAGATGTTTGTTGCACCTTAAAAATCAATTATATTTTGAAGGTATAAGCCAGGGGTCTTCAAACTTGTGGACTTCAATTTCCAGAATTCCTCAGCCAGCCATGAGTCATAAAAGAGTCATAAAAGAGCCAAGGTTGCCTACCCCTGACCTAAGTTAATGACTGTTGGGTTATATTTGTTATTAAATTTTGCCTCCCATTTTGCCACAAGGTGACTCTCATTATTTCCCAATAAAACTGGTTTGGTAAAAATACCAAATCTTTTGAGTCTCTGTGTTGATGTTATTATATCTCCCTAGACCTCCGGATTTAGAGTCAGCACTTCCTACTGACGGGTACCACAGTGTGTGCCTATCACAACGTACCCAAAGTGGGAGAATAAAAGAAGAAAACAGGCAAACTTTGGTCCTTCTAGTTCTAATCATTCAAATCATTATGACCTTTCTGAGATCTTTGTTTGCTGTATTAGGATTTTATTGGAGATTGACTCCGGAAGTTGCTAAATGGGAAAATCAGGTGAGGTAGCCATGCATCTGCCCTTGACTTGCAGAATGTATGATAATTTGCCATTACCTGCACCAACTACAAATCAGTCACCAGGTAAGTTGAAGATCCCCCAAATCACTGTGGCTCCCCCCAAATCATTGCAGCTTCTTTTGCCATCCCATTACATTGTAGTCTGACGTTATTACTACTATTATTTTCAGTTCACTGAAGTCACTGCTGTCTTGAATGCAAGCAAAACCAAAGGATGATGAATAGACAAGTGAATTATGCATTCTGCATGCTTTTCATCATATCCACTGGTAAGTCTTTAAACTTCAACCCTTGCAGAAAAGGCGGAGAAAATATTTCAGATCTTGAAATATAATCAAAGCATTTTATAAATCAGTATAGGTGGTCCTCAGTGTATGACTTACGACTTACGAGCCCAAAATTTCTGTTGTCAAGTGAGACATAAGTGAATTTTGCTCTATTTTACCACATTTCCAGCCTCCGTTGTTAAGTGAATCACTGCAGTTGATAAGTTAATAACCTGGTTATTAAGTGAATCTGGCTTCCTATTGACTTTGCTCGTCAGAAGGTCACAAAAGGGGATCACATGACCCCGGGACACTGCAACCGTCATAAATATGAGTCAGTTGGCAGGGCATCTGAATTTCGATGACACGATCATGGGGATGCTGCAACGGTCGTAAGTGTGAGAAACAGTCATAAGTCACTTGTTTCAGAGTAATTATAACTTTAAATGATCACTAAACAAACTGTTGTAAGTCGAGGATTACTTGTACAGTAGAGTTCAAGAATGGAATTGGCTTGGAGACAACCTTCTGGTGGTCTTATATATTTATAAAATGTATATAAAATGTATGTCTTCATGAGAGGTAGATGCAAGTGAGCATTCTGGACAGTGTAGGTTTTATCCTCCTGTTTTAGTTGTATTAATAACTAACAATGCTTTACACGTCCTGTGATTTCATGGCTTTAATGTTCTTCCACACCCATTTCCTATGCATTTTCCCCCCTAATTTCTTTTTGCAGCAAATGCCTTCTGGTGTTTCGAATGTTCCAGGTCAACATATTTTAAGAAATGTACTGGGCAATATGAATTCTGTTGGGCTGGTGAAGGTACTGGGTGTTACATCTACAACATCTATTATGGTAAGAGGGCTGGAATAGAATTTTGGCTTTAATTGCTCAACAAGCAATTCAAGTTAGGCTTGTCTTCATCTTTTCATTTAATATTGAGGGGGGCAGATTTCCACTTTCTTAGGATAGCTTTTGTGTTTGAAGCCCATTGATCTCAAGATACATTCTTATCCTTCTTGCAGAGCTCTGAATATTGCTGATATTCAGCCTTGGCAGCACAATTTCAAATGAACTTTCATTCATATGAAATTCAACATATCACAAATTATGGAGAACTCTAGTGATTGATTGATTGATTGATTGATTGTATGCCATCAAGTTGCCATTGACCTTGAGCAAGCACATATACTTTTCTTCATAATGATCTCTTTCTAACTTGGTCTTTCAGGTTTTCCAGTGGTGTGCTCATTGCAGCTGTAACTGTGTATGTCTACCTTGCTGTTAGTTGTCCTCTTCTCTTTCCTTCCATTTCTAGCAGGATTGGAATCTTCTTTAGAGAGCTCGGTGTTCCCAGGTGTCTGGAGTAGCATTCATCCTTGTATTTGTACCTCAAGAGAAAACTCTGGGTTGATTTGATCAAACATCCATTTGTTTTCTTGGCTGTCCAGGATATTCTCAGGCGTCTTCTCCAAAGCAAAGTTCAAAAGTGTCAATACTCTTTCTATTCTGCTTCTTCAAATTCTAGTGAAGAGAATATCAAATAAGTAATCCATGGTCAATTATCTTAATGTAAGAGCTGAAATCTGTGGGGAGTTGATATTTGATTGAATTATCTAAGAAGCAGAAATCATTATGTCTATCATTGGGTCAACAAACCAATTTCTGCTGTTAGCCTAAAGTCGGAAGAAGACCACCTTTATTGCCTTCTTAGGCAATAAAATGAAATGGAGTGGGCCAGAATATTACATAGATGTATACAATTATCATATTATCATATGCAATTATAATGTTATTCAAAGCATGGAAGAACATTTAAGGTATGGAAGCCAGTGCTAACGAAGCCAAGATCAACAGTTTTTTTATGTTCTTTTTACCTTTTTCCAGGAAATGGCTTGCTCGCTTCTGAAGCTGGCTGCATCAAAAACTGTGCCACTCAACAATATCCGAAACCTAGTGCTGGGTCTGAAAGGATTTGTTGTTACACGGATTATTGCAACATTTAGTTTTATGGCTGGAATCTTGAGGGAAAAAAGGACTGAGTAGCCTTGAACAACAGAAGCTGTAGTTTTAAGATATTCTGAACACTAAAAACTGTCAATGGTACTTTGAATAATAAATAATTCCTTCTTCTCTCATTTGTGTTTTGCTAGTAGTAATGAAGTACTGTATGTCTAGTCCAATAAAAAAAGGACTAGGGGTAACATGACATCCGTCTTCCAATATTTGAGGGGCTATTGCAGAGAAGAAGGAGCCAACTTATTTTCTAAAGGACAAGATGTAAAGGTGGAAGCTAAACAAGGAGAGATCCCACCTAGAACAAAGGAGACATTTCCTGACAGTGAGAAGAATAAACTAGTGGGACTCTTTGCTTTCAGAAGTTGTGGGTATTCCATTTGTCCTCAGACGTTTCCTTGATTTAGTAAAGTACAGCAAATTTGCTTGCTATTGTCAGCCCAACAAATTGTGACATTATGGTCTATAAATCATGCATCATGAGAGAGAGCCATGTATGAATCCAGCTACTATGGCTTATTCAATACATTGTGATTAAATGTCCTATGTGAATTTGGGTTCCTTTTGTGAGTAGGAAGTACATCTTTAACAAGGCAGATACGCCACAGACATTATTACACATTGATATGACTCAGTATAGCAATAGCATTTAGACTTATATACCGCTTCTGAGTGCTTTACAGCCCTCTCTAAGTGATTTACAGAGTCAGCCTATTGCCCCCAACAATCTGAGTCCTCATTTTGCCAACCTCCAAAGGATGGAAGGATGGGTCAACCTTGAGCCGGTCAAGATTGAACTGCTGGCAGACAGCAGAGTTAGCCTGCAACACTGCATTCTAGCCACTGTGCCACCATGGCTCTTGTATTGTGATAGAGTGTGTTCCAATTGTAGAGAATTTAGTAGATGGTGGTTACCCTATTGTGTATCAGAACTACTTAAAAAGGTAAAGGTAAATGAGTCCCTGAGGATTTTACTCTGTAGTCATTGTTGACTATAGGGGGCAGTGCTCATATCTGCTTCAAGGCCATTGAGCCAGCCCTGTTCAAAGACATTTCCGCGGTCCTGTGGCCAGCATGAGTCGCAGAGTGCTGTTATATGACGTGGCACCTATTTATCTGCTCACTTTTACATGCTTTTGAACTGCAAAGTTGTTAGGAACTGGGGTGAGGATGGGAACTCACCCCATCACGTGCCTTTCAGGTCTCAAACCTGGCCTGCCAGTTTTCCAGCCAACAGGCCCAGTGTCTTAACCAATGAGCTGCTATAATTTTTCAAAAAGATTGCTAGATAAGTAGTTTTGATGGGCAAACCACAACCCCTCACATTCTTTCTCCCACCAGTTGATGCTATCAAAAGCCTAATAAATTCTTCTGTAGGAGGTTTGTTTGATCTGCTTGGCTGAGATCACACCATATGCCCAGTGGTGGGATTCAAATATGTGAACAACCGGTTCTCTGTGTGGATGCTGATTCCGGAAGTCCATTCTGGGCCTGTACAACAAAAAATTAGCTGCCGGTTCTGCCAAAGTGGTGCGAACCAGCTGAATCCCACCATTGCATATGCCTGTCCCTATGTTCCAGGAATGGGAGAATGTTATCCTTTACACTTAATCCTTGTTTCAAATCAGGTCATTAGGCACTTTCTGGAATCTTCTTGTGCAGTATTAGAACTTGACTAGAGATTCAGAAGGAAAAGAACTGAATACTGTAGAAAGGTAAGATGATACAGGAATAATATGCAATATGTCAATCATTTTCCTTTCACGACGTGCATGGTATTGTTAGTGAGGCTGTCAAAGATCAATCCTTCATCAAGTTTTGAGTTGATTGTCTCAGGAAGTATTGTCAGAAAGGTTAGCTAAACTTTTCTTGTGATCTTGTTTCTTCTCTCATTCACCTCACAAAATTACAGAGTTCTTTAAATGACCCATCTAGGACACCTTGTGTTTTGAAAGAGCAACCACTGATGATGAATACATTTCTAATCTATGGGCCATGGATGGTCTTTCATCTATACTCAGGTATGTCTTTGAAGAAAAACAGGAAAAATTGAAATACAATTTTTAGTCTCAAAACCATCTCTTACTATGTTGTTTGTCAATCGTCCCACTCAGAACTGTCTGAGTTAGTACTCTGATTCATCTTAGATGTTAGGTAGGATTTGACTATCTAACGAAAGTCTAACACTGGAGTAACAAAAGCAACGTTTTGCTTTAATTACTCCAATAATGACTTCTTGATGATAGCATAAAGTTCAATGGAACTTTTCAGGTCAAGCAGATTTATTTTGGTAATATAAAGCATTAGGATTTATTTCTCTTGAGTCAGGTGATACAGTAGGAGATGTCTCAAAGGTGCTTTTAGCAAATGGCAATGGATTTTCTTGGTTTTTTATTTGAAATTGTTTCACTTCTCATCCAAGAAGCTTCTTCAGTTCTTCAGAGCTGAGGAAGAATCATGGGGCCAAACATGACCTGGATGATTGAGAATCTCCATAGATAGCAGGTGATGTGCTTTTCTCCTCGACTATATAAAAAGTTTAGGCTGCAGATTATGATGAGGGAAAGATTTCGTATTTTAAATTTTTTGGATAAGACAAAGAACCCCGTCCACACACAGAAAAATAAGATGTTAAATAAAATTATGCTCAGATGCTTCTTCTGAGATCATGTAAGAACTTTACTGCAGGTTACACACTTCCCAAATTCAGTGCCTTAGTTTGCTAGACTATAACTCCCAGCACCTACCAACCAGATTCACATCACATATCCAAACACATAAAGTATCCACTCTCGGTCTCAAACTTCGTGAAGCTTCATCTGTAATGGTAGAATAATTTTCACGATCTTCTCCATTTTTGTACCTTTACGTTTCTTCTGCAGCAAATGCTATTTGGTGTTTCCACTGTCTCAGGCCACTTTCAAAGGGGATTTGCTCTCCGGAAAATGAATTATGCTGGGCAGGAGAAGAAGCAGGTTGCTACACACTGAAACTCTACCTTTGTAAGTGTGCATGGGGAGAGGTCATTTCAATAAATGCAGGGAGACCACAGATTAAATCTGTGAGATAGCGCTTTCTTTCTCTTCACTCAAAGTCAAGGTTTTCTGCAGCTTTTTACTGAGAAATTTATTTTGGGGCAAGGCAGTATGATACAGGAGACCGGATTATTGGTATGAAGATCTTATTATTCAGAGAGATGATGGTGATTTCAGCTTCCCGAATTAGCATGAAATTAGCGCGATTTATTATTTATCGTTAAAGGTATTTCTTCATTAAATTTATATGCTACCGATCTCACTATCCAAAGTGACTCTGGGTCAAGACAAAAAATAATAAATAATCTTTTAAAAGATTAGAAACCTTCCATGCACATTTACACAAATTCAATCTAAATATACAGATTGGATAAAATTATACATGGAACAGAAATAAAATTAATTAGCAATTTATAGAAATACCTATTGAGATATAAAATGGAAGACGAGGTTGTCAAAGACACAATGATTAGATGGGCAAAAATTTTGGGATATAATATAGAATTGTAGAAATGGGAAAAAATATGGGAAATAAACATAAAATTGACTATGTCAGCAGCATTCAAGGAAAACCAGTTGAAGGTGTTTTACAGATGGTATCTTCCACCAGCAAAGCTTGCCAAGATGTTCCAGAACAATTCACCAACATGTTGGAAATATAAAAAAGTACATGGAACATATTATCATTTATGGTGGACATACCCAGTTGCGAAAAAATACTGGACTACAATAAGAAGATGGATCGAAGAAATAATAAACCAACCCGTAGACTGGAAACCAGAGATCTTTTTGCTGGGTATTTTAAACAGAAAATATAGTAAAGAAATATGGTACTTAATTTTACATATAACAACAGCAGCAAGAATAGCATATGCACAGTTCTGAAAAAATGAGAATATACCATCAGAGGAAGAAATGATAAGAAAAATTCTGGACTGTGCTGAGATGGACAAATTAACAAAAGAGATAAAAGAAAAGGAAGACACAGAGTACTATCTAATATGGAACAAGTGGTATGACTGGTTGGAGACTAGAAATAATAGAGGAGAATAAATGTGGAAAGGTCAAAAGTGGAAAATGTGTGTATAATAATGTATAGTAATAATAATATGTATGAAGGAAGAAAAATGCAAATAAGAAACAACGGGGCAATAAGGACAAATATCCTAAAGAAAAATAAGGGGGGGAAATGTAAATAATAGAAGATTACCGTTACGAAAAAATAATAGAAGATTACCGTTACGAAATCGCTGTTAAAAAAAGGGGGATACTGTGTGTATATGTGTGTTTTGTTTTGTTGGTTTAAAAAAAGAAAAGAAAAAAAAGAAACGTTCCATGCACTTTTTATTGAAAGAAGAAAAGACTGCATTGATGATACATGAATTTGGGGATCAAAAAGAAAGGGGAAGAATAAGGGGATAATTCCTCAACAGAAAGAAGAGTGAAAGTTATAATCCTATCTTTTCTTTTTACTTCATTTTCTTATTTTCTATACTCTTTGTTTTCTTATTCTTTTATTCTTTCTTTACACTTCTAGTCTACTGGAAAATACTAAAAAAAATCTATTTTTTTAAGAAAGGAAAGAAACATGGAACCAGAGATTTGCTGTTTATGCCAAACATAATATGGGTCACGTTGATTTCAGACTTAGGGGTAACAAAAAAAGATTCCCAGATAATATCATAGAAAGGGATCAGGTACTTCAAATTATGACTCGTAAACTACTTTTTTCTTCTTCTCTTTCCAGCAAAAACTGTGATCAGTTCTGAAGCTGGGTGCATGCAAGAATGTCGCAGTTACAGAACCTACAGTCGTAAGATTTGGCATGAGATTATTTGCTGCTTCACAGATTATTGCAATCCATAAATCAGAATGTGAAAGGAAACAGGCTTAGAGCGAAAGAAAGCCCAGCATCGAGATAGTTGCATGACAATGTGTTTCTTGTGGTCTTCTGCTCTTGCAGTTTGCAAAAGTTTGGCTTGCAAAAAAGCTGGATGACCACCAGATGGGAGCAACGAAAACTTCAACGTTTTCTTATCTTCTGCTGATCCTTTTACAAGAACCCTCTATCTCTTTCTTGGATTACAGAAATATGATTTCAAGATAAACATAGGTCAGCCCTGGGGACCTCCGGTGGTTAAAGCGGTGGAGATGGCGGCTACTTTGTAGCCGTCCTCCTGAGAAGGTGTCAGATCCGCGGAGCACAGCGTTTACCAGCTGGCCCGCGGCTCGCAATCCCCTTCCCGGGCGAAGGGAAGGGGTAGAGATCGCATGAATAGAGGTAGAACCTCTTAACTCTCCCTGGATTTTTATTTTTAGGGGGGTAGAAAGAGGGTTCCCTCGGAGTTCATTGCCTTCTCCGCCTCTCAGCTGTCTTTGTTTCTTCGGAAACAAAGCGAGACGCCGCTACCATCTCCGTACTTAAAGAAACCGTGAGTAATCTTAAACCGGACAGAACTGTTTAAAGGATTTTATTTATAGTTTAGCTTTATTTTATTTTTTTTTAGTTTATTTAGTTTATTTAGTATCTGCTGATTTTTTTTTATTTTTTTGAGCTTTCTCTTTTTTTTTCGGGCGGAAAAGTGAGAGTGAAAGTAAAATGGCGTTTTGAAAGTTTTTTCCTTTAAAAGACGGATCGGCTGAATTGTTGTTTAATACTGCTTTTTTTTTACTTTTTTTACTTTTTTATTCTTGGGGACTTTTAGATTGATCTTATTTTATTCTATTTTATCTTATTTTTAATTTTTTTTTTGGATTACTTATTTTTATCGGTATTTTTAAGAAGAAAGGAAGATAAATTAAAATGGCTTCAAAACGACAACCAGCTACTGCAGCTTCTAAAGTAACTTCTTCTCCTGCTACTTCTACTGTGCAACAACAACTTAAAATAATACCCTCAGTGCAGCAACCTAAATCCACTCCACCTTCACCTCCCCCATCTGGCACATCAGCACAAGACATTAAAGAAATAATGGTAAGTGCTGTCTCACAGTTTAGGGAGGAAATGAAACAACTTTTGGACCAGAATAAATCTGAAACTAAGGAGGAAATGAAGAAAGAGATGAAGGAGCTTTTAGAACAGAATAATGCTATTTTGAGGGATGATATACTTCTAGCTCTATCTGGAATGGCCTCAGTGGTTGTGAAGCTGGACTCCAGAGTAGAGGAAATTGAAGAAACAGTTGAACTTTTGGATTATAAATTTCAAGATATGGAGAAAAAAGTGGAGACTTCACAAGATGATATTCTTATGTTCCAGTATAGACAGATGGAATATGCTTTGAGAATAAGGGGTCTGAAAGAAGATAAAACTCAAGATTTGATGGAAATGGTGATTAATGACTTGGCTGTTATTTTGAATATTGATAAAGAAGAGTTACGTGGGGATGTGGAAAGAATTTATAGAGTTAATTCTTGGATTGCAAAACAGAGGAATTTGCCTAGAGATGTGGTGATATATTTTGCTAAGAAGTCTTTGCGAAATCAGATTCTACAAACTTTTTATAATAAAAGATTTCAGATTGCTGCCCAAGATATTATTATTTTAAAGGAAATTCCACCTAAAATTTTAAGAAGCAGAAAAGATTTTGCTTTTTTAGTAAATGAACTTAAAGCAAGACAAATGCCATTTAGATGGGAGATTCCGATGGGCATTGTTTTGAGCCATGCGGGGACACGTTATAGACTTAATACAGTTGCTAAAGCTAAGGAATTTTATAAAACGGTCCTGGGAGCAGGCTCTCCTTTGCCCATGATGCATAAAGTCTTGAGTGACAAAGAGATGGAACAGAAATCTGAAGGTACAGGGATGATGACTGCTGGACAGGTGGTATGGATGTCTCAACCAGAGGTTAAAGAACAGAGAATGACCCGTGCAGCACATAAACGTAAAGAAAAAGAACAACAGAAAAAAGAAAAAGAAAAAGAAATTGAAGAATCTACTCAGCAAATTGCTTCAGTGCCGGTGGGAGGAGCAAGACCCAAAAGCTCTGCTACATATTCATCAGCAGCAGAATTTGAGCGGATCTTCTCCAGGCTGAAGGCCAAGGGAGATGGCAAAGCTCCTGTCCTGGAATGTTAATGGATTAAACATTCCTCAAAAGAGAAAAAAAATTTACCACTATTTGAAACAACATAACAATGATATTATTTGCTTGCAAGAAACTCATATTACAGCTAAAGATCAAAAATATTTAAATAATCCTCGCTTGGGATCTCATTTTGTATCTCCCGCCCCTGGGAAGAAAGGGGGTGTGGTAATCTATGTTAAACAGAATTTATCTGCTACCTTGTTAGAATCAGATCCTTACGGAAGATATGTTATGCTTGAACTTGGTTTATATGGTAAGAAAATTCTTATTGTGGGGTTGTATGCACCAAACCAGCAACAGGAGCAATTTTATAGGTTACTACATCAGAAAATAACTTTGTTGGACTATAGATCTGTGATTTTAATGGGAGACTGGAATGGTGTCTTAGATATACAAATGGACAAAAAAGGCTCTTCTACCTTTTTTAAACAGGCTAAATTACCTAAAGCCTTTTTTGATATGAAAGAAGATTGGGAATTGAGAGACTATTGGCGTGAACGTAATCAAGAAGAAAAGGATTTTACGTTTTTCTCAGATAGACACCAATCTTTCTCAAGAATTGATTTCTTTTTGATCACAACAGATTTATACAACAGGGTGAAGAATGTAAAAATTTTTCCTAGGACATTGTCCGATCATAGTCCAGTTTGGATGGAACTGTTTGTAGAGAAGGAAGATAGGAGATCCTGGAGGGTGAATGAGAATTTATTTAAACAAGAAAAAAATGTTCATAAATTAAAGGAATGTTTAAAGGAATATTTTACTTTAAATATGAACAAGGGAACATCAATGTCAATGGTCTGGGATGCAAGTAAAGCTTTTATGCGTGGTATTTTGATAAAAATGAATAATTTGCATAGACAGAAACAGACTCAG